TTACTTGTCGGGGGATATGGTTCGACAATGGTCGTTATAAGCATATACGCAACACGTGTTAAATGGGTTTTGTGACTTTTCTCTTAAGTGCTGCGAAGACGGTCCTTCTCATGCTACATTGATTTAAGACATTTGTATTTGATTATTACTCATTCGCGCGTGTTGGACTGAACGCCACTGCGGGGCCACCGCCTTATAAATACAGAGTTTTGAAAGGCTACTTACATGTATCCTTCCAGCGTCGATCCAGATCTGTTTGCACGCAAATGCGTCACCAGATGAGGGTATGCGCTATTAAACACCAGTAATTGGTAGTTAAGGTTTGTATGTCCCTACAGTGTGGCACCTACATGGTTATACATGGATATAATGTATATATAATCAAGTAAATGTTCAACTAAATAAGGGGAAGTAACTGCTATATTACCATTTTACAGCTTCTGATTGGCTATAATTATGTCGTGGGAACAAGATATTATCTCGTGGGAACAAGATAATTATTTCGTGGGAACAAGATAATATCTCTTGGGAACAAGATAATATCTTGTGGGAACAAGATAATATCTCGTGTGAACAAGATAAATAAAGACACATATGTGTCACATCTGTGCAACCGTAATTATAGACACTTGACGTAATAGTATGTTTTCTTGCTGTGCTGGATGGATACAAACATGTACATTTAAAAATTACTTATATGTCAAATATTAACTTAACAATATAATATAAATAACACATGGCTGTCATTTTGCATTATGCTAACTGGTTACTAAAGCATTATCGTTTTTATCAATACAGGGTTATGTAAGAGTTATGTACCCCAGGGTGATATAAGAAATAATCCCCGGGAAATATATTCTAGGAGGATGGTATTCGATCAGAACACATTGTAGGCCTATGGGAGTTTTACATTAAAGGACATATTGAGGTATAATAATTTATAAATAACATATTGCTGTCGGGGTGATAGAGGATATTGTCAACCCGAGAAGTTGTATATTACCCCGAGGCGCAGCCGAGGGTAATATGCCAGTTCAAGGGTTGGCATTATCCTCTATCACCCCGACAGCCAAATGTTATTTGTTTTATTATACCGAAAAAAACCTTAGGTTCCAAAACATTCATAAGAGAAAATACAGATCAACACTTCAAAACTACAGCGATTTTGATCTGTAAACACAAAAATGTATTGATAAAAACAAGACAAACAGACAGACAGACATATCGTTATTTCTTCATTAGAAAATAAATAACAACAACAAAATCAAATTATTATAATTATTATTAATGGATGCAAAATTACAATTATTTTTAATCATCTATCTATAAAATTTTCATATGTAGTAATTTTTATACACGTGAACATGTACAAGCTTGTAACGGTTTCGCACGAACTTTCCGCTTTCCACGTGGGATTCTTTGCTAAATAAAGATTTTTTTATAAACTATTTAAATTGTATTAGTATGTATATTTTTGCATTATGTTAACTGGTTACTAAGTAGCAATGCTACATGATATTTTTTGGTCTACATTTCCAAGTTATGAAGGTGTTACATGAAAAGAACACTGCTTGATAATGTCAAAAACTTTATTTTAACAAGAAATATTTAAATATCCTGTATGTTTTGTGATTGATATTTTTACTGTGTGAATACCACACTAGCAAAAAATTATATATGTACATATTTATGCAAATAAAACAATTTTCAAACATCGAAGAATATGTAAAATGTGTACTGCAAATATTTGTGCACATTTTATTTAATCAATAAATTACAGGCATTCATTTCTTATTGCAAAATTTGACTTAGAATTTATAGAAAATAAATTTCTAATCACCTCCCTTTATTTACATGAAATGTTAAATTGGGTAATATCTTTATAAATAATGCTTATTGGAACTTACAATATTGACAAATCTTGATTTGAGCATCATATTTATGAAATAAAACCATGAAAAAATTGTGTTACAGGATCTTAAACACTCTTTTTTGGTGATTTTTTTAGTCTATCACATATTCATATACCTAAAACTGTCATTTTCCTAAAAAAGTGAAAATTCTAACCCCAGTCAGTTTTTACTTCACTATTTGAAATATTTCCAAAGAAACAGTCTTTTCACACTTCAGTATTAAAAACTTGAACTTCTGAACATGCAATTTATCCAAATACACGGAAAAAAGCAGCTGCACATACCATAAATTAATGCTCTTGGAACTTCGGTTTTGACCTGTGTCAGACCAGACTGGTGCCTTCTGAAAACTAAGCTGAACTGTCTTTCTGTAAAATGAAAAAAATACACAATGATTCAGATTGGTTTAAAAGAAACAAGTATTAAGGAAAGAGATTATACATACATAATATATAAACATGTAAATATATATATTCCTAAGTTAGTAAAAAAAGAATAACAGATATTCCGGAAACTTAGAATATATTTGTAATAGAGCCAGAGTGGTAATTTGTGTAAACCATTACATTATCATACTGAAATTAATATTTCGTTAGTACAAAATTAATACTTGCATTTCTTTAACTGTATGTACTTAACTTTCAAAAATGCTAAAATCCTTCAGTGCTTTACATTATGATTTTGGCACCTTGCAATAAAAACTGTTCTATTTATTATAGTTTTATAACTGTGTTAGTGTAAAAAAATGTTAATCAGTGTTAGACTAAATAAGGAAAAACTAACAGTATAACATGAACCAAAATTTAGAATTTTATTTGCAACTTTTGCAAAATAGCATGGAAATACAGTCAAACCTGTCCACAAAGATCCTAACCAAGAAGCAAAAACTGTCATTCTTGACAGACAATCTGTAACAAGTGTATTTGATGACAGTCTCAATATCTTGAAAATAGACATAAATTTACAGACAATTCTTGTTACTGTGGTTTTCTATTTGAAGGTCTCTTAACCCAGGTTTGACTGTCAAATTGAAAGGGAAGGTCAAATAGCATAAATGTCAGATAAAATGAATCTTCATTTGCTGGCATATCATTTGAAGCATTTAATTCTAATACAAGGAAGAGTTAAATATTTGGAACCTGCAAGGGAGTAAGGAGAATAAATGAAATAAAACATCATGCTGGAATCATGTTAATGTTTATAAAACAAATGAGTGCAACAGTGTTTTCCTGAACAAAAGCGAAATGATTAGCATCCTCAACAGGGCATGAACTGCTGCAGCAACTGTGGCTTTGAAATACCTCTTGACAAGTATCAGCCTCTGGAATAATTTTAAGATCCTTGTTTCTATAGTCATCCAACAGCTTGTATGCGTATACTGCTACATCATTATCATAAACCACGTTGTACCAATCTGGATATCCTGGAACAACAGAAATGACTCTTCCTATGTACGTTTCGTCTTGAAACTGATGTTCAATTCTCTTTCCTACCAAAAGTGGCACTCCTCTTCGTTCAAAATATGATAGACAAGATCGACAAGGAAAGGAGGCATTCAATGAACGCAGCCCCCACCCGACCCAGCAACAAGCGCCAGCGGCAAGGAGCCCAGGAGGACCCCAAAGAAAAACAGGACAGGTCACAGTTCACTGTGTGGACCTTTAAATGATTCATCCAGGAGCTTCTTGAGATTATCTTTTAGTTCTGATATTGTATTTATTATCTGTGCCCTTTTCACTGAAATTATATACAATTTTATCGTGATACTTCTGTTGTAATATTGTCTTTCTGAATTTTAACTGCCAAATAAGAGCTGCTCTCTTGTCCTTGTTACTTTTGATAATACCTAGAGCCTCATTAATCTGTTCCTCAGACTGCCATAAACCGCCATACAATATATTTGCAACAATTTCTTCCCTTTTTTTCCTCTGTATTTCATTCTTTCTAGCGGCTTCTGCAGCTTTCTCAGCTAAACGTTTTCTCCTTTCTTCTTGTATTTCTTTAAAATAGATAAATACAGAATCCCTAAAGAAAGCCCAACACGACAAAATTGGGGGAAAATGTTCAGGTCGGTTTTATTGAGCCTTTTTCTTTGGGGGAGGTTTGGAAAGTTAAAAAGGGTTACCGTCCACGCCCCCTACCCACCCGGTTTAAGGCGGGGGAAATTAAAACTTTTTAAACCCGTGAAATAGTTAAAATTTTGAATTTAAAAAACCCCCGCTGATGTTTTTCATCGGGGCTTTTTTCTTTTGGAACCTTAAATTGACACAGTAGTGACTTTTCCCCATAAAAAAGGGGCGTATGTCCCCAAGTAATAAAAAGGGGTGTCCCCCAAAAAACGAGAAAAAAAATGGCGGAAACTAAAATAAAAGGGAAATTTTTTAAAAAGGGGATCAGAGGTTATGAACCTCTATAAACAGGTAAGACGTCAAAAAAAAATTTAAAAAAAAGGGCGGGAAACCCTTTATCCTACGGGGGTGATTCAAAAAAAATTTTTTAAAAAGGGAAAGGAAATTGGAACCCCCCAACTAGAAAAATGCCGAGAAGTTGAAACTAAAAATACCACAAGCACAACAATAATGTCGTGCTGAACGATCTTCAAGGATCGAAAATATAACACCATTGATTAAATGTACGGGGAGACTTTTTACAGCCGCCACACGGCACAAATAACACGGATGTGATCATAAAATAGATAAATACAGAATCCCTAAAGAAAGCCCAACACGACAAAATTGAAAATGTTGCAGGCTCGGTTTGATTGAGCCTGTTCATGGACGGTACTGGAAAGTGCAAGTTACCCTTGCTTTAAATGTTTCGCGGTATTTCCTCCCATCTCTTCTGCTTTCTCTCATTAACCTAGTTTTCTCTTCATCAGAAAGAGATTTTAACCATTCACTTGTTTTATTCATTGAGAACATCAAGAACGCTTCATTTACAAGAGTGGAAGCATTTGGACGATATCTTAACTGAAAGTCAAGAACTCCAAAAGCAAATTCAGGAAGCTTATTGTGAGGAATTACTGAAGCTGTTTTGATCTTCAATTCTTCTGTTATGTTACTGAATTTTCCACCTGGAAGGTGATCACCAACCATTCTCTCAAGTAATGAATGTAATGCTGTAGCTAATGTTTTCACTATCTGCTCTGCATAATGGTCAATGTCATCATTTGGTTGTACAAGACACTCAAAAAACTTCATCCCTGTGAATATACTGTTCATTGAATGCACAACAGTCCCCCAATAGAAATTCTGCAGGATCTTTAGAAATTCTATCCAAATACTGGAGCAAAACATGGTAATTATCATTCATCTGTAAAATATGTGTGCCACTTTCTAGTACCCGCCACAGAGGTGCTGTGACAAGCTTTGAAATAAGTCCAAGTACTTTGCATCCTGATATCAGAATCTTTTCTTTTGCATCCATCAAAACAGCTTTCTGAAGTTTATTGCTTGGAATATGTATTTCCTCGAAAAATTAAACTACATCATTTCTATGATAGTAAAGTACTTCAGCTAACAGAAATATGACATTAAACCGGTTCCCATGGAATCTTATGAATTTTACACGTCTTCCAGACATAGAAAGGTATGCTTGAAAATCACTGAAACATCCACTTTTTTCATCCCCACCCCTTGACAAACATTTACTAGCAGCTCTGATTAACCGAACAGTAGCACACTCTGATGTATTTAAATATTCAGACTTTATTTCATCATCTCTCTCTAATCCAATGTTTTCCTTCAGTGTTTTCTCATACTCTAGCAGACACTTCTGACTGACCTCTGCACAAGCAACTAAAAGGTGTAATCCACAGAAAAATGAATGCATACTTGTCAATGATGTTTGCTGTTCACTACTTAAATCAGTCCAGCCATCTGTAACAGTTGGGAGGATTTTCTTCCTATACTCCTCTAAAATATTATTGAATGCCTTTTCTGTGCTTGCTCTATCAGACATAGTATTTACAATGTTACTGACAATTTTATCACCAACTTTATTATCTAGATCTGTAACTGAATCACTCAAATCTTGTAAAATACAAAGTAAAGTATCAAATGCTGTCTGAGCTGACTTATTGTACATTTCACGCAACCCAAGAAAGTATGGGGACTGATTTTCATCTGTTGCAATGTATGTGTTGTATGTTTTTCCAAATTTTCTTGTCTCATCTGTATACAATGTAAGATTCTGTTTTGAAGGCAACACATTTGATAAATGTTTTTGAGTAATTACTGCCTTTGCAGAAACAATACTGTCAATTGTAGCTCTTTTAGGGACTCTATCTGGCTCCTTGTCAGCTAACGCAAGAACAGATTTGATAACGTCCGGTATTTTATGATGAGCAACGTTACAATTGCTTAAATTCATAACACATTCCATAGTTTTAGCCGAGAAAGAATTTGTTGAGCTATCAAAAAGTTCAATTGACCTGTCATCATTCAGAAGCTGTTCCATATAATCACAGTTCTGCTGAAGATTACTAATTTCCTTCTCTAACTTGCTGTTATTTTCAATCAAAATCCTATTTTCCTTTTCGATATTAACAATTTTTTCAACTGTTGCATTAATTTGTCTGTTCAGTGCAAAATTGTTTTTCTTCAGATTTAAAAGACTAGTACTGAATATTTTATTGCATTTCTTGGAGCTTTCAAGTTGTTTTGAAAGAAGTAAATGTTGACGCTTAACTTTATTTTCCATTAAAAGTTTTTCTTGTTTCAATTTCCCGGATACTCGCACTACTGTCTAATTTCCGTTTCATTCTAATTAGCCTTCTATTAACAATTTTGTTTTTATCTTGCAATATTCTTACAGTGGACCTTCTATCATGAAGTTTTTCTTTGAGCATACCTTCTCCCCTTTTTAATTTTTCAATTTCTTCATCTTTCTTTTTTAATTACAGGTTCTTTTGTTCAAGATTATATGTAAGATCTTTTGTGACAGATTAAAAAGTTTCAATATCAATATTTCTTGGACTGCGTGAGCTAGTTTCTTCAGTAGACAATGTACAAGTCTGAACTGGTATTACAAATGGTGAATTCAGAAATTGTTCGTTTTTTAAATACCTTTTTTATTTTTTACATTTTTTAATGTTCTATACAGTTTTGTTGTTAAGGCATTAGAGTTAATTTCATTTTCATTACATGACGATAACCTGGCAAACAACTGAACTAAATATGTGTCTGACAAATTTTCTCCCTTGAACATTTCAAAGGCCTTAATTGCATGTTTTACTTTAAATTCTCCCTGAACACCAACTGCCTTCATAATTGTTTTCACAGCATTCATTTTTAACTTTATTTAACTGTTTTCCTTCTAGTGTCAAAATTTTCCACCCACAAAACCCATGAATGATTTAAAATGTTGACTGAACTGTCAACACAAACATAATTAAACAGTTTCAAAAGGAGACTAACCTTTCTCCAACAAAAAATAACAAGTTTCATATGTTTGACTGTTAAAAAAATATCTATTTTAACAACTTCAAATTTGACTAACCTGTCATTAGAAAATAACTGAAAAGCTTCAATGTCAATCTCAACAAACTGTTAATATGAATGTTTATACTTCTAAGCATAAGCATTGAAATGTAATGCTTGCATTTTTCTTAGGCCTTTCATAATTTTCCTGTCATGTTTCCAGTTTTCATTCAACATTTCTTCAAGTGACATAAATACTGATGTAACTGATGGCATCCTGTACACACAATCATTAAGTTTACCATAGATAAAGTCATTGATTGATGTATCATACCAAGCAATATCAGCTAGCATATTTTTTAACCTTTTTAAAGATGTGTTGTCTTCATCATCTAGTTGATAGATTAGGAATCTAACCAATTTAAAGTGATCACTTGCATTACCTCCTGTAATTTCTCTTCCTGATATCCACTTAGGAAAGGTTATTTTTGAATTCAATGACATGATGAGCTATAAGAGAATATACTAATGATTGTTACATTAGAGAATATACTAATGAGTGTTACATTAGAGAATATACTAATGAGTGTTACATTAGAGAATATACTAATGAGTGGTACATTAGAGAATATACTAATGAGTATAACATTAGAGTATATATACTAATGAGTGTTACATGATCTAAGACTACAAATGTTTGTCATCAGGGTCTTTCAAATAGAATGGTCTGGAGTCAGATCAATATTATACGAAAAAAAGATGTCTCGGTTGAATCTAGTGATTATGTTATTAACCGATCGTGATCTGGCATAGTACATCACCATTTCAAAAATCAAATTACAAGATAATGTTTTGTGAAATTGATCAAATAAATTACTGAAAACTAATCCAGACTACTTTACATAACTATTTTTTACTTTAAAAAGTAACAATTTTATAGATTTCAATGAAATTAGGAATATTTCGGTCCTTGGGTAAAGGTAAAATGTACTGCTCATAGTTGAAAAAAGGTTTGAGTTGCATAAGCTTTTATAAATTCATGTTTTGTTCAATGGGAAAATAGAAATTGATTTTACAGAGAAAAAAATGTTATTTTTCTATTTGAAAGACCCTGCTGTCATGAACTAGATGGTGTGCAAATTTATGCATGATCAAAATGTTAAAAACGACAAATACAGTGACAGTGCCTTACTTGAGTAAACATTAAATGATTAATACTGTAATGTTTAGTGAATACTTCCTCCATCATATTCCATGTATTAGTGGTAATTATTTTAATGTCATGTTACACAATCGGGGATACACGTTCATTGCATCACTCTCAATTGCAATGTCAATGGCAATGGCATAAACAAAGAAATTGTCAGCATTTCAAAGGTTGAATCGTAACTAATGTCATTACTGTTACAGAGTGCATATCAAATAAATAAAACAGAATTTACAACACTAATTTTAATGGCCTAGTGCATAGTAATCAACTGATTCAGTGCCAATATCAAAATTCGTTTCCCACCCACTGACCCAATCAGTGACAGTTACTTACTGCAAAGAAAACTGGCCGTATTTCTTTATCTGAGCATTGTTCATAATAAACTGTGAACAGTTTTTATAAAACAGGAGTTATTGCAACATTATTACAACTTACACCAAGGGAAATACTTCTTCACTCGCAGAAAATATCTGAAATATGTATAATCTGTTTTCGTTTTTCACAAACAGGAAGTTGACAGTACGACTTTCGGATTGCTTCTCAAATGTACCGCTGTTTTCAATGAGTGTCCAAGATAAGGGTACACTAATGCACACAGGTCACAAATCTTCAAAAATAAATACTTTGTCCAGGTCCAATGTTAAAATTAAAGGGCATATTCGAAAGATTGATAATTATTTCATAAGAAACGCACATTTACTTGAGTGTAACGGGTTTGAAAGTGAAAAATATTTGCAAATCTTTTCTTTCCAAATTGATTTCGTTTAGAAAGGTGCGGGTTCAACGATATAAAAATAAGGTTACACATTTATTAATGTTTCTATTAATAAATGCAACTAATTTTACTGACCAACGAACTGTTGTCTAAAAATAATTTACAGGCAAAAACGTCATGGGTTTCCCGATTTATTGGGGTCAGACATTTTCATTGGTCTGCGCACTTCGTTGCGCAGCGCCATCTAGCGAGCGTAGCATTGCTATACTAAGGCATTATCGCTATTATGAATACAGAGTTATGTAAGAGTTATGTGCCCCAGTGTGATAAAAGACATATTCTAGGAGGGTGATATTCGATCAGAACACATTGTACGCCTATAGGAGTTTTACATTGAAGGATATATATTGAGGTATAATAATATATAATTAACACATGACTGTCGGGGTGATAGAGGATATTGTCAACACGAGAACTGATATATTACACCGAGGCGCAGCCGAGGGTAATATGCCAGTTCAAGGGTTGGCAATATCCTCTATCACCCCGACAGCCATGTGTTATTTATTTCATTTTACCGAAAAAAAACCCTTAGGTCAGCAGTCTTTGCCTGAAAGAAAATACTGATCATCACCTCACAATTATAGCGATTTTGACCTGTAAATGTTCGATATACACAAAAATAGTATAATAAATATAGATAAAAAGAAGAGACAAACAGACAGACAGACAGACAGACAGACTAGGAAATAAATAATATTATGCCAACTGGCTTCTAAGGCATTATCGCTTTATGAATGAGTTATGTAAGAGTTTTGTGCTCCAAGGTGATATAAGAAATATTCCCCGGGGAATATATTCTAGAAGGGTGATATTCGATCAGAACACATTGTAGCCCTGTGGGAGTTTTACATTGAAGGATATATTGAGGTATAATAATATAAATGTTTAAATGACACCATCATATAGCAATTATAATGTTACTATTCGAATACTGTGTAATATTTATTTTAATCTGTTGACAAAAACTTTTAACATTTCTTCTCCATTCGACAAACGTTATTTTTGAAATTATCACAATTTTGTCAATGAATATTTTCATCTTTAAACTGTTTTCACACATATATTTACTGGTTTACACTTGGTTATGTCTTGGTTGCAACTTCGGTAAATGTACTGATGCCATTTCTTACGGTCTTCTGTACCATATATCTGCAATCTCGTACCAACAAAGGCCATCAGTACATAACCGAAGGTGCAACCAAGCATTGGCCCATCTAGATTCTCTTATAATATTGAGGATTTCTAATATTAAGGCCACTGAACTGACTAAAAATTCAGCAAAAGTCGTCTCACGCTTACAACATTCCGCACATCCTGCATTATATCAGGTGAAATGTAAATTCTAGTTAGGTAAATGTCACATAACTGCACAACACTACTAAGATGACATCTGCTTAAGACGTATCTCATTGCCCGGATTTTCGTTTATACAGTATCGCACTATCTTAACTTGTATAAGTAGTGGTAGATTTGTAAATATGAACGAAACTCAGTGCAGTCCGGTCTTCGTCGACGTCGCATATTTTCGACAAGTGAGCGCAGAGAAATAACATCGTTATTCAAGTCATTGGCAGTAACGCTAACACTATTATTATCGATATCACTTGGTAAGTTCTCCGTGTGATTGTTATCCAAATTATTGTCATTTGCAGTATCGATATCACTTGATAAGTTCTCCGTGTCATTGTTATCCAAATTGCCATTTGCAGTATCGATATCACTTGGTAAGTTATCTGTGTCATTGTTGCTATCATGATCTCTATTAGTTTCAACAAAATATATCTGCTCTGATTCGTAAATTATATTTCGAACTAGTTCCTTGTCATAGCTTAAGGCTACATAATGTTCCCCTTCACCTTCGGGATAGTGACCTAGAACAATCATAGGTAAATTTTCATTTACCTCGCCGTCGGGGAGACCATTTGGACTTATTAGTGTAGTCCTGCTGTTTAAAGTTAAAACAACTAAAATCTGTGCATTATAGATATTTGAAATTGCTTGTAATGTAATGTGATCACCATATTCCGCATTTTGTCCCATACGGAATAGATCCTTTGTCGGGGATTCTGTAATTGATTCATGCCAAAAGGAGCTCCTCCTCAAGAAACTTATAACGTCATTGCAACACAATGTTGCTTCAGATCTAAAAACACCAATATTGTTTAACTGAAATGCTATGGCCGAAAACAAACTGACAATTGCCATTTCCGGAGGATTATAACGATGTCAAGTCCAAATTCCGATTGAAGATCTCGCAAAGATGAGGCCTCATTCTCTGAATGTAATAGTGTTGTTTATGGTTTCGTCTTATTTT